TTGTAGATGTGAGTCACTCATATATCATGATTCTATGTAATAAAACGGGTTGAATTCTTTTTTTCTGAAATTACAACTATCCATTGCAAAAAATTAAGTTCTTATTTTTAAGTAAATGCTTTTCACCCAAGTAAGTTTTAAAATAAAAATCAAAAGTTCTTTCTGGGTGATCTCAAACCTTTCGCCTGTTATACCTTGAAAAATGAATTTTGGAATTTTTGACATAGAAAGGATTTACTTGTTACTAATAGAATACAACCCCCCTTTTTCTTTAGATCTACTTGTTTAACTCCGATAGTATCATAAATTGAGTCAATGCATAGGAAATGAATGCATTTCCATACTATGTAAGTTTAATGAAATACATACGACATAATCTAGATTATATCATATTCCTTTTTTTACTGGATATTACGGAGCCTGTTCATGCAGGATATGATCGAGTCTGATCATAGAAAAGATTATCTTCAAGCGAACCGGACTATCCTCTGTAGAGGACTGACGCGGTGGTTGGAACAAAGACACATTTCATTGTGAATTCAAATGTGGCAGATAAGATCAAGTCATATATCTGCATGGCCCAATCAATAGTTCAAGTCACACACTCCCATAATCCATTCTTTTTTCGGAGAGTTCCCTTCAACTATTTGTGTATGTCAAATAAAGAATCCAGTTTATTTTGTTAAGTTGAAGGGAAATATCCAAATACATGTCTTATTAAAGAAAAATAATGCATATTTGTAGCAATGAAATACTATTACTCCTCCCCAAAATGATTGATTACAAATCTCTATGATTCATATTCTCTATAAAGGACCAGAAATTCCTTGCTTACGTATCATTGGAAAGTGCATTAACATGAATACGGCAGTAAGAAGAGGTAATACAAAAGTATGTAAACTATAAAAACGAGTCAAGGTAGATTGTCCCACACTAGCACTATCGCGCAATAACTCTACCACCGAGGATCCTATTACAGGAATAGCGTCGGGTACATCCGTTACAATTTTGACTGCCCAATAACCGATTTGGTCCCAAGGTAAGGAATAACCTGTTACACCAAAGGATGCAGTCAATACACCCAAAACTACACCTGTAACCCAAGTCAATTCGCGAGGTTTTTTAAAACCACCAGTGAGATACACACGAAATACGTGCAAGATCATCATTAAGACCATCATACTTGCTGACCATCGATAAACTGATCGGATTAACCAACCAAAGTTAGCCTCAGTCATTATATATTGAACAAAAGCAAAAGCCTCTGTAACGGTTGGACGATAATAAAAAGTCATAGCGAAACCCGTCGCTACTTGGACTAAAAAACAAGTAAGTGTAATTCCTCCTAAACAATAAAATATATTGACATGAGGAGGTACATATTTACTAGTTATATCATCGGCAATCGCCTGAATCTCAAGACGTTCTTCGAACCAATCATAGACTTTATTGAGATAGGTAAACCAAGGGACCCCCCTGAGAACCGTATATGAGAATTTCATCTCGTACGGCTCAAACAAAAATACTCAAATACTGGTTATTTGGAAAACGGATACGTGTAATAGAAAGTCTTAAACTTTTTCACTTAATCCTATTATTCCAGTCTTTTTTGAAGATAAAAAAAAATAGAAATCCAAAAGCTATTCTTAGTGTTTATAATGTCAAAATTTCAAGTCGGTTCACTCGTCTTTTCTCTTGATCCTTACCGGCCTCTTGAATATTCTATTATTTACTTCATTTTTTTGTATTGTGTATGTAATAAGATTTTACTGCTATTTTTTTTATGATTAATAAGAATTTTCTTGTTAAGACCCTATAGAATCAATTTAAAAACCTAAGATTCATACCAGAACCACGATGATTTCCCCAAAAAACCTTTAATCGAAGTCCATAAATTCCCTGAGTAAGAACTGTTGGATCATCATTTATTCAATTAATAGATAGAATGAAAAAAAAAAGACAAAGAAATGATAAGCGGTGGCAGTTTTAAAGAATAAAATTCCATTTCTTTTTCTAAATGAATTCTTATAATTCTTTCATTTTTTTTCGTCCGGTTGCAAGGTCTAAATATCAATATAAATATGAAGTATGAATCATAGTTCTAACACTTTAGAATCTATTTATTTTCTATATTCCGTGCTCCAGATACTATAATAAATATCTGACGGGGGAAAGCCATCTATCAAGATTAGATGACGTATCCATTTTCTGTTTTGTACTATCAATAGGATCCATTATAACAAGTCACACACTCATATTCCGGAAATACAGAAACAAAGAAGTTTCACGGTCGAACTACCAAATCAAAATGGAATGGGCTAAAAATTAACGATTTAAATGCTAAACTTGACTTTTCGATTGAAAAGCTAGTTAGTTGGTTCTTGTGAATCTAATTCTCTAATTCATAGAAATTTGGTCCAGTAAAAGGGACGAATTATAAATCTCTAAAATAATAGAGAGAAATACCGCAAATAGGGCCATTGCAATCCCCATCAAAGGGGTAGTTCCCCACCCCGGAGCTACTTTACCATATTCTGAATTCAATGGTTTCAATAAATCTCCTACAACAGTTCGTCTTGGACCAGATCTAGAACTACCCTCAACGGTTTGTGTAGCCATAAATCCTATATATCTTTTTTTATTGAGATCTGTTGACTTTGTATACCATTCCGCTGTAGATAAAGGATCGTACCCTATAGATCCATTGTAGTCTTGATATTCTATAATCATGGAAACAGCAACCCTAATTGCCATCTCTATATCCGGTTTAATTGTAAGTTTTACTGGGTATGCCTTATATACTACTTTTGGGCAACCCTCTCAACAACTAAGAGATCCATTCGAAGAACATGGGGACTAGTTGAAGTAATGAGCCCCCAATATCATAATATTGGAGGCTCGTTACTTCAATTGAGATAATTAAAAATCATTTTGTGTTTTTAGTTGGAACTTGAGG